TAGGCTGAACAACTACGAGATAAAGTTGAAAATTATTTTAATTCTTTTTTCCCCATGTTTGTTGAATTATAGATTACAAAACTGTAAATTTTAGATTTGAATTTGCTTTTAACTTCTTTAATGGCACCCAAATTTTAACTTGAATGTGATATTAATAAAGGCATCAATAATTTTCACTAAACGTACAACACATGTATGGAGATTATTGCTTGATTGTGGATACTGGGTAAAATGTCTAACATCATCTTTGACTAAGATATTATCACATTTCTCTACTAATTGCTCGTATACATAAAAATAGTTACATTTCTAATAATAAATTAACAACAGTCCATTAACTCTCCTCTTCATTCTAAAAATATCAAAGCAATAACTTTTTTAACATAATCTTTACTCGCTGTAATTCTGAAAAATATCCTTCATCTAATCTCTGCTGTGTACTTAACGATGAAACCTTGACCCAGAATATGGATATTAATATGTTATGTGATCCAGAATGTAATCTGGTATAAGAGGTTTTTGCTGCGCAATCTCTCTTTTTTTGTTTCAACTTCTCTTCTTGGTTGCTCATTGGTTTGTCGCTCTCTCTGCTTTGTCTTGCTGCTAATTACACCATTAATCTAAAATGTTACATGCAATATAAAACTGTGGGGTGCATACTGTGCAAATGACGATGTGTGAAGAATAATGTTAGATAAATAGTTTATTGTTCAGCAATAAAAATCATGTTCAAGTTGGCCACATCTATCTGCAAGTCTCTCCTTCGTTATGGATCTTATCTTAAGCTTTGATTTTAACATATTTCCTATTACTAAAAAAAGGGGGAGACTATCTGATTTTAACAGACAAATTAAAAAAAGTTCTGAATAGTCTCCCAGGTTGTAAATCACCTTATTTACTTTTAATTTGCATGTATGCAAAGCTGGTAAGTAGTCCAGGGCAGTAATTCACTAATATCAAAAGTACAGCTCTGCATAAAGCATCATTAGGTAGACTTGCAGGAATAGCTAAATAGCAAAGTTGTTGAATTGCAAACTCAGCATACAATATGCTCAATCGCTTTGATTCTGGGAAACAAAATGAAAATTGGAATAAAAAATTATTTGCAAAGTGAAATATATGGTCAATACGCCCACCTCAGAAATAAAGACTAAATGAGCATGCACTTCTCATGCACATGAATTTTTTGTAAAAATGGTTGTTAATATGGCTGATTTCTGTAGCTTGCTTTTTAGAAAAAATATCGTATTCCCCAAAATTTTGTTCAACGATATTTTAGTTTGTGAAAATTACAAATCATACTGTTAATCATCTGCATTTTTTCGGTAGTTATCTTTCTCTTAAAGACAATAAATTTTATGTTTTCTGAAATTCATGTTTCTACCTACTACTGTACTTAAATATTTTATTTAAGTATATGAAGAACTTGGTAAAATATTACTCGAATTTTTCATACAGCTCTCATTTGAATCTAATAGCATACTAATTTTAAAATTAGCATATGCTTCAGATAGGTTTATAGAAATGAACTTATAATAGTGGTCCAGGAGATCAGGGGTCAATACTTGTGTTCATTTTTTTTATAGTTGCTATAAAAAACATGCCCTAATCAACAATTCTCAGATGAATAGGCTAGCTACATAATTGGTTTTTACCATGTGGATCACAGATTTTTTTTTGTAAGGTTAAAAATAAAAATATGTTCTAAAAATAAAATTCAATGGCACATATCTGGTAGTTAGAACTGCAAATGATAAGCATTTCTTTTATAACAAACCTGAACGAATATCTAGTCAAATGCAGAAATTAAATGAATACCTTGGGCACATTCATGAATTAAATAAAATTGTTGCTTCTCTAATTACACACACACACACACACACACAAAAAAAAAAAAAAAAAAAGGAAAAAAAAAATTGGATTGATATTGCAAAACACCTCTTGATACTTATTCTGAGGAGGATGGATTTTCTAATCAAAACTGGCTTACAAACCTGAAAATACCCAAATGGCGAGTTTGTAAGTGAAGATTTAAAACCGGGATGATTGGACTGGATTGGGTTATGACAAAATGTAGGACGTTTTAAGAGAGATTATTGCAACATTTTTTTTTTTAGCTTTTATAGATACTAGTTTATCCTGACAATTGAAGAAGTGTTTAGACTTAAATACAAAAGTGAAAATTAATATGATTTTTATAATTAAACAGGAAACATACATTTCATAACATGTTTAATTTTATTTGCTTTGGATTCTGTTTTATTACAGGATGTATAAGTTAAAAAAATATTAAAACACCTCTGAAAAGAAAAGAAGGTATCAACTTTTGATAAATAAAAAACACACTATTATGAAACCTGAGCTTTAGACTGGGTAAAAGTGTACATAAACACTCTTGCAGCAAAAGCAATTACACCCCTCTAGGAGTTTCAAAAACAGGGTAGTCTATATTTTAGGATACCCCTTGGATTATCGCAAAGTTGTTTCATTTATGGTAATCTGAGTATTTTATGATGAATGTTATGGAAACCCTATTATGATGTGATTTGTTGTTATGCCTGATTGTGGTGATTTTGACTGTTAGGAAAATATTTCTCAGGGCTTATTTATGCATTAGATGGTGGTGAGGAGATACATTGTTTATTTTGTACTTTACACCGCAAAATGCCTGCTGGCAGTAAAATTAACCTGTAGTTTCTGTACGCTTTGAAATGAATGTGAAAGAAAGCACTGATTGACTAGTATGATTTGAAAGATAGAAGACTTAAAAGGTTTCTTCACCTCTCAGTAAATTACACAGTGAGATTTAAGGATTTGGAAACCGCAGCTCATAACACTATCAAAGGTATGTGGGATGTAATAAAAGGGGATTTTTCAAAAGAAATGCCACCGACAGGCCAGCCATATGGAGCATATTTTTTATTTTTAATTTTGTGAATTTATGTGGCAATGACAGTATGGTATTAGATAAATGTCACGATGGCAGTATGGTATTAGATAAATGTCATGATGGCAGTATGATATTTATGTGGTGATGACATTTATGTGGCAATGGCAGTTTGGTATTGATTTTAGTTCACATAATTTTAAATAGTTTTTGGATGCTGTCGAGAAATTCTGTATGTGGCACATTGAAGACAGACATTTCTAAATAAGTAAAGTCGATATTTTCTTTTTGTACTGCGCAGATTAGATAGCATGTACATTCATTTTTATGTTATTTCCTCGTTGTATTTTGAAATACAATTTATTAAGATTATAATTTTTTTTTTACATTTAAATTACATTTTATTCTATTATGTTTTGGATGCTATTTTGAGACGGCATTGCACATAAACAAGAATGGTGCCAAAACAAATCACAAATTTGTACCCTAAAATATGTTTTCCCCACAAACAAGGGAAAAAAGTCATGGTCAGTTGAGCCATAGCCATTATAGGATTTTACTGGTAAGGTTATCTACAGTTATTATGAGACTAGTGATCAACACTGCATTAGATTTTTCTTTTTCCTTACATGAATATTTTACTTGAAAGTATTTTGCAAATAGACAATGCTTTTTGAAGTTACTGTTTATCAAAAATTAAAAAATAGTGTATAAAATGATCAACTATTAAAAATCATTTCTTGTTACAAATTTACAAAACATTGCATTGATATTCTATTCTGCTTTTGCAACACTTAAAAAAGAGAGCATTTAGACAGAAAATTAACAAGAAACTGCATTTCTATTCCATCAGTCACCTTAATAGAAGAAAGAAGCAGAATGTTTTAGAAATTTGATTGTCATGCATATTATTCTTTAAAAAATTAGCAGCATTTACTTGAACATTTTACAAGGAAAGTATAAAACTTCTTAATGACAACCGCCACAAAACTTTCAAGAGTGATCATGGTTTCAAAGATGTAAGACAAAAAGCACAAAATATGTGAGTTTGCGTCAACCGCAACAGCCAGAAAAGGACTTGGTAATTTTTGCAAGCATCTGCAACATCCACAACCACAAACTGGAAACATGATGAATATCTTAGTTTTGGGACAACTTGGCTTCCAGAGAGAATACCCACCTCATCATAATGCTGCATATATAGCATACTTACATCACTTCAAGCCACAGCTGGAAATTTAAGTTGAAGTCTGCATTACCAAATTGGTACTGATGGCATTAGATTCTCAGCTAAGAGTATTACATATCACACACAGTAAAGTATATGTCTGAAATTGATGAGATATTCAAGATGATTAAAGAAATACACGATGGATACAAAACTGAGATAGGTACTCTTCTCATTTCTTGATTTGCTAGTAATAAGCTGTGACTTCTTCAATTTTATACACACATGCTCTCAAATTCATTCCACATCATGTTCCAGAGGTCTATCTCTATCAAGTCTTGGGAAAATTGGTCGTACTTTGTTCGGTACTGTCTCGTATTTTCAAACTACTACTGCTCAGGACTTTAGTTGCTATGGCAGAACAAGCAACTCACATACAAAGTGCATGCCAAATTGTGCTGGAACAATGTTATTTGCAGGCTACAACAACATAGGTGCCACAATATGGAGATTACTAGCCATTTGACTAAGCATACAATATACTTATTACTCATTAACACTATTTGTTTGCAGTAAACATATGCATACTCCATACCACACCACTGGAGTTAAGTCACTGCCACATAATATATTTGATATCAGCCAGGGATGTGCCTTTTATAACTTACAAATACATTGTTTGGTGGTCGGTAACTGCATACATTGAGGGCATGTGCATACCACTTTATGTATTCTGTTTCGAGGATTGAGATCAATTGTAAAATGGAAATGCACCTGTTGTTTTACTCACGTTTTATCACCCTTGAAAGTTTCACAGCAATTGTAAATAGGAAGTCCAATAGCTTTTCTTATTAATACATTGCTTACAAAATCACCATTCAACATACATAGCTTAATCACTTCAAGCTTCAGTTCAAAAACATAGCAGTTTTGAAACAAACTTACTTGACAAGTTGCAAAACCTTGAAATAACAGGAAAACAAAGCACTTTCTGCAGCTGTCTGATATTTAACATTAAACTTTGGCCCCACGGTGTGAATGACATATCGAGCAGGTAAATTATAGCCTTTGGTCAGCTTTGCTTCACCAGTTTTGCATGCTGATTCAAAATATAGTAAATTTATATATAAAAATCAAAACTTTATTAAGTATCATTTCAATCATGTTTCATAATAATATGAAATGGTTCATACATTCATCAAAAGTATTTCTTTTTTCATTATTACTGTTGCTTACAAAAACTAATGACACATATATTGCATCCCCGAAAAAGTCCGTATGTGGCCTTTATTTTCATAACGATTGGTCACAGACCTTCAGTTACAAAAATATGTTAAATGACAAGTTACGGAATTTTTAAATCACCAGTAGTTTCTTAAAAATTATGGAACTAACTTTTTATCCCCTCTCTACAATAAAAGTTTATATTCATTCAAAAAAGGTCTCAACTCCTACATTACAAACATTACTAATATTTTTAATTTCAAAATTTGAGATATTTTTAGATTTTTCAGTACTGTTATTGCCTTTTTCTTCCAGGGGTTGATTCAAAAATAAATTATGATAATTCAATTTCTTTTTCTAATATAATATCATTTAGTAGTATTCTTTCGCGATTCACTAATGCACAGTATTAATTAATAATTTTGTTACAACTGGTATGCCAAAAGCATTTTTCATAGGAATAATTTACAAATGTTCATGTGCTAAAAATATGTTACTGATCTTCACAAGCAGTTTTGTTACTTCAAAATCATAATCCAATAATGGCCCATCAACTACCAAGTAGTAAAATTGCTAAACACTGGTAATTCAACCATGTTCTGGTGAACAGGCTGGCTGCATGAGTTCCCATGGTTTTCTCCATATGTAGCTGGCTGCATGGGAGTTTTCCCCATGTGTAACATGGACATGAGCCAGTTTCCCTTAAGATGGCCTCCCAAAGGCATTACCCCTCTTAGACAAACATATACATACTTTGGCACAAGTTAAATTATCCAATTAAATGAACAATCCAATAGCCCTGCAATAGAATTTCACAGCATTAAAAATATTTTTTTATTTTAAGTGCTTGCAATAATACTAGGAATTTACTACTTGTTAATACTGAAGCCTTCCACTGTTTCCTGTAATATTAAAAAAAAAAAAAAAAAAAACTAAATGAGATCTATTTGAAAAAATCTGTATTAATCAAAACTTTTCATGACAGTTTGTTCATCACTTAATCTATTAAAAGTAGCAAAACGTTTTCCCTAACTAATAAAGCATTTTTAATTACATACAAATTTCAATATTTTGGTCTTTAATTTGGACATGACCCCCTGTATATTTAAAAACCATGATATGAAACTAAGATTAAAATCTTGTACCTTTTTTTAACATTAATGTTTGTGAAAAATGCAACACCATGAAGGAATTGTCAGAAATGAAAAAAAAATTATTTCACATATTTACCAATAGAGGTACAAATAAATAATCAAATTTACATGACAAAAAAAGGAACATCTGAAATCAGTACTTTGCGTGTCCTGAGTGACGAGAGCCTCTACACAAACATGGCATTAAATCACACAGGTTCTGAACGTAATCCTGGGGAATGGCATTCCATGTGGCTTCGACTTGATGCCAAAGTTCAATCTTCGAAACATACTTTCGCATTGTAGATCCTTTACATATTAGTAAATATATATATCGGAAATACTATTTGACATAATCGAAAGTTCAAACTTACTTTTTTAAAACTGCTCTAACAGTCTGCAAAAGATAATAAGCCGGATCAAAATTCGAAGATTAAGGAACAACGCAATCTGCAACATTAAGTGAATTAATTTTAGCTTAGCTTATACCGTCCGTTATACATTAAATGCGCAAGTGTAAACGTATATGCGCATGCACACATGCATATTTGCAGCCGTAAAGGTCTTACGACGCATGCGCAGAAAGTTTGTAGCTTTGAGGTCCGGATTATAGATCATTCCGGATTATGGGTGTCCGAATTAACGACTTTTGACTGTATATTCCATTTTCATTGCTTAATTTTTGTTCGTGCTTGTAACAGAAAAAAATTCCAGGGCAAAAAGAAAATTTTCATTGCATACTAGTTAAAGAATAGGTTTTAATGTACACAGCATGCTAACATGTACATTATTCAAATCTTTTCTGTGCCACTGAGTTTAAAAAGAAGAGTATGAAATGATCATAATAATCTCCCATTATTTAAAATATAGAAACTAAAAATAAGCATAGACTTTTAAGTGGTGTTAAGAAACATCGGCATACTAATAAAATCTTGTAGCCCATTATTATCACATTTTTAATTATATATTAAAAGGACATTTAGTAGTTTATTAATTGTAAATTGCAGTTCTATTACTTTTGTTATTTGTAGTTCCAAACTCCACATAATTCCTGTTCTTTGAATATTGGCACTTATGGATGTTGTTTTAGGTTATTAGCATCTCTTAACCATGAATGTTAGAATTTAGGCTTTTTTGATATTATATTTAGGTAATTTCTTATACAAAATAAATTTTAATGACATTTATAAACTAATTAATCTAGTCTTTCATTAACAAGTGCTGGATATGTAAAAAATGATGGTTGTAACATTTTCCGCTACGAAACGTAAATTAAGTACTTCAGCATAGTTAAAATATTGATTATTATAATTCTTACCTTAAAAACCACTTTCTAATTTTTCATAACATCAGTAATTTTCAATCTGTGTTTATATTATTATAAAATGTTTGTTTTCTATTTATCTGTTCATTCAATCAAATTTATGCAAAAAGCTAATTTAAAACGCGCTCAGAAAGCCTAAAACGTGAAAATAATATATACAGCCTCTTTTCTGTCAGCTTACTTTAATTAAATGTGCAATATGGTAAAAGACTATATTTCTAATGAAAATTTTAAAACATCCATTTCCAGACACAAAATAATAATAAGAAAATACGGGTAGTTTATATTTTGGGGTCCCTTTAGATTATGGCCAAGTTGTTTCATTTATGGTAACCTTAGTATTTTACTGTGTATGTTTTGAAAACTCTACCATGACATGATTAATTGAACCCTTACCCCGATTTCGATTGTTGAGAGAATATTTCTAAGGGCTTATTTCTGTATTAGATGTCGGTTAGGAAGTACGTTGCTTATTTTGTGCTTTACACCATAAAATGGCTGTTGGTGATAAGATTAACCTGAAGTTTCTGTACAATTTGTAACAAATGGGAAAGAAAACACTGCCAGAATGGAAGGTGTTTTTTTTTTTTTTTTAAGTACTTGAGGACACAAGAAAAGAAACTTTACTGAACGTAATTTAACGGAATAATCTTACCTGGAACGAAAATTATATCCGATTGCTGGAAGTCGTACAATTGTCTTTCTGATAATGGCTTCGTTCACCTCTCAGTAAATCATGCAACATTTAAGGACCCGGAAACTGGAGCTTAAATTAACATTATTCAAGGCATGTGGGGTATACTAAAAAGGTATTTTCAAAAAGGAATGCCACCAACGGTCTGGAACTATGGAGGCTACTTTTTTATTCTTACTTTTGTGAATTTATGTGGCAATGGCAGTATACAGATTCTAGTTCAGATAATTTTAAGCAGTTTTTGGATGCTATTAAGGAATTCTGCATGCCACACACTGAAGACACAATTTCTAAATAATAAGTTGGTATTTCCTTTTTGTACTGCTCAGTTTAGATACCATGTAGTTTCCACCTTTATTTTATTTTCTTGTTTTATTTTCATTTAAAATGCAGTTTATTTAGATTACTATTTTTTGTTTAAATGAAGTTTTTATTGCAATATGTTTTGGATGCAATTTTACTCAGGAGGGCATTGCATGTAAACAGAAATCACACACACACAAAAAAAAAGCCAAGAGGGTGAGGAGACCCCGAAAATACACATCTGCAGCGTTTCCAGATGACCTTATATATACATATATATTAGATATATAATGCTATAAACAGGAACATTTTCTAAATTAACGAATTCACTGCCAAAACTAAAATAGTGAATGAATTCGCACACGTCAAATCCTATTAATGTTTTATGCTTTTAAATTATTTTCTGTTTTATTACTTAAATATAGATATAACAGATTACTTTTAGCAGTAAATAAATTCACACAAGTATAAGCGTAGTTGGCATATGATAAAATATTTTTGCTTTCTATGCCAAATGAAAAATAACTGAATTTAAAAAAAAAAAATTACCCTGTTCTGTATGTTCACGCCAAACTCCTGCACTTGTGTTATGTTATTTTCTATTATTTTTAGACAAGTAACTGCACAAGATTTTTCGCAAACCATTTATAAGATTTTTCTAAGTAAATAATGAACTCCCCAATAAACAGATTTGAGTTCTAGAGATTTAGCAATTGTGTCTACATTTAGAGGCATCTACACTTTGAGATTTTAAAAGAGGAAAATAAAAGATGTTAATCAAAAGGCTCTTTATTACTGCTTAATAAGTAGGCATATAATAAAATTATTTGGTGAATCTTCAGATTATGGTAACTTGGCGATTCTTTGGCGAAACTTTGGCGACCAACCCTGCTACAGCAACCTGCTAGTTTGTTTTTTTTTTTTTTTGACGCCATTTTGTTTTTCACGAAGTATAGGCATTTTTTTTTTTTTTTTTTTTTTTTTTAAACTCAACATTTTTTCTAACAAACTGCTAGCCGAATTACACTTATGCTAGAACTTTTATGGAAAAAAAGTGCTTAATGCGACTTACATGATTTTTATGCAGTGTCTTATGCTGAATTGCTTGTAAAAAGCCATTGGTGCATCATGCTTTCCTTTGTCTAGTGCTTTATTTGCAGATATTTAAGCTTTACATAATAGGTTTTGCATGTCTTTATCATTCCTTGATCCACTAGTTGGAATAAGAAAGTGGTGTTTGGCAGAAGGAATAAAACCTCAACACATAGATGCAATGTTGCAAGGGCTTCAGTACTGTGTCCTGGAGCCTTATCAAGACTAAGGAAAATTTAATGCTCTAAGCAATGTTTCATTTCTTTAAGAAACAAATTTTCAAACCAGTCTTTAAAGAGGACTACCCCAACTTGACTGATGCTCTGCAGTCCACTGCACATAATTGAAATTTTCACATTAGACAAATTAAATGGAGACATTTATGATAATGTGTATGGGCAAAATTGCATTCGGCAAGGGTTTACTGTAAATGATCCATTTCAGTTCACCAAGTGTATTATTTAGATTCTTCCTGTATGCCAGACATCTAAATGCTGCATGTATTTGTTATGGCAATACTTATACTAGGTGATTTAGGTAAGGCAATCAGTATCAAGTTATCTCACAGCTGATTAATAAACTTAGTTTGCTAACTATGAGTATTCTCATATATAGCAATGTCTGATGTAACTCATTAAATATTTTTGGTTAATTTTAATGGTTATGGGCCCCGGTTAGGGGTATATTTTAATAGTTATAGGCCTGTGTTACAGATTTTTCAACATCCTATTTTTTTAAATCCAATTTTGCCATCAAGTAATATGTTTTATTGATTAACACATATCTCATTATCATCCTACCACTGATGACCTCAGAGTGCCATAAATAAATTTTGCAAAGATAACTGATATTTTTAGTTTCAAGTCAATCATAGTTATTAACAATTTGGCAAATTTTTATATATGTGATTCAATGCCAAGATTAAAAAATAATATGTCACATTTAAAAAATTACATGCTGTAACATAAGTTTTTGCACTAGAGAACGAAGAAATGTTGGTTACAACAACAATAGTGAATAAGACAGCATAATCGCATATGGTTATTTCACTTTAAGAATCGGATGTAATTTGAAAAGATTTAGAATTTCTCTGTAAACCTAATATAAGATGATGTCTGATCAAACAGTTTTATACTAGTTAAAATGTTTAAGTATATTTAGTATTAAAAATGCTTCTCTTCCTTTATATCACATTAAAGATAATTTTTTCGAGTCTGGTAATATTTATAAATATTCGAGTTCTTTATGATCAGTCAATAATCAATTTGACAAATTAAAGTTCATGTAGTTTCACACTAGATTTAGCAAATGCAAATTAATATGCACACTCATCATTAACAAATAGAAATAAAAACATACATTTAAGATTTAGAAGATCTTCTTTAAGTTGAGGTCCAGCTCTTTTCAGCAATCTATCATTTAATGGACTCCTATCTGTTAAGGCTTCATTAGTAGAATGAACTATAACTTGAATTCGCAGGGTACATATGTCTCCAGCCCTAAATTGAAAACATAATAGTAATAATAGTTAAACCTTTTAAAAATACTTAATTTAATTACAATGAATCATGAGACTTGTGCATGCCCAACTACAGCTAGTTGTTCATACTTAAACAAATAGCAATTTTTTTAATATTCGTCATTGAGCAATAATGATGGGATAAAAGAAACTATTCAGAAACTTCTCAATCAACTTATGATTGCACAAAGGAGATTAAGTACATGTTTTTCTTGGATTCAGGAAAACTTGCCATTAGTCTCTATATTCTTCACATAAACCTTGTCAGTGCACTAAGCATAGAGAATTATTATTATCATACATTTATATCCCAATTTTTGGCACTTTCCAATTATCTACTATCCACTGAAAAATATGCACAAATGTCACCAAAATAGGCAACCCATGAACTCACTAAAATGGTGGAATAATTAAGGTTACCCTATATAGAACTATGTAGAGCTCATTCTGGTAGATCTATTTCATTGAAATTTGGTAGACATGTTACATGGATCATGCGGGGGGGATAATCTACAATAAAAATTAACAGTTAAAATTTTGGCTGATAGATGGCACTTTTCATGCAATGTAGAAAGAACATTATGCAAATTAGCTGTATTTTAAAATGCCAATAGATAATACTGTAAAATCATTCTTCACCACGCCTTTAGAGAAGAAAGATCAAGCTTTTACTGATCAAGTTGTTACAAAGTGGTGGTAATTTTTCAACTGCTCTATCAGAATATCAACACTTCAATGATGAAGGATGAAAGATTACTTATGAAAAGGGCCTACATCAAGGCAGGGTTTGAAAACGATGATTACTAAATTTGAAGAGACTGGGAGTTGTGTGAAGTGAGGAAAAGGATGTAAACAGATTTCAAATGAAACTCTGAGAGAAGTCACTTTTGCTGTTGATTCCCACTATTCTTTGACAAGTTCTCGAATGGTGTCACATGATCCATCTCTTCTTTGATCAAGAGTACGAAAGGTTCTGCAATTCTCTTAAGTGGGACCCATACAAGATCCAAGTTCTGCAATAGCTGCATCTTGCTAATCCCTACAAGTGAGCTCATTTTGCTAGCCTACTTTTGGCCAGAATAGCCACTAATAATGCATGGCTTTCAAACATTTTGGGGTTGGACAAGTTACATTTAACCCTTGACGAAGCAGTGAATACTTAAAACTGTTGCATAAAAGATACTGCAAGTCCTAATGTTGTGCATGAACAGTCACTGCATCCTGATTGCATTATTGCATGGTGTGATTTTCAGTACTGATTTCATTCTCGGTCTTTCTTAAAGAAGCTTCCCCAAAAGAGTTCCATCATAATGACAAAGGTTTGCCAATTCACAATCCAATATCTTTTCAAAAAATCGTAATGAGGTTCCGGAATTCACTAGCTGATGAAAAAATGTGGCATTTCTTCAGAAATATGGCATTTTACAAACCAAACAGTACAGAATGCACAAATTTGCATTTCATGAAGTTATACTTTGTAAGTAACCAAATTTGTGACAATTGTAATTTGTGCCATTCTCTGATTTTCTTTTGAAAGGAAAAACAGTTCACTATGTACATAGGAAAACAACAATGTGTGCAGTACCAAGTTGAGTGCAATGCCAAAATTCTACAAGTCTTTTTTTTTTTTTTTTTTTTTTTTAAGAGCTACAACTGATCACTGTGTACATAAGGAGAACAGTGTATAAAAAAGGCAAGCTTTCCATCATGGATATTTCGTCAGTTTTTAATTTTGTTAATTGTTTGCTGCTTTGAGCAATTCTTAATATGCTGCTTTTTTTAAAAACGGCTGTTGTCTTGCACATCTTAGTTTGGCTAAAAAGTATTTGCCAGACGTTGGGGACTTTTCAGAAAGGAGATGTGTATAGTTAATGTATCACAAAGTTACAACATAAGATACTGGTAAAAAACTTTAATCAGTGACCATAATTTTTCAGATTTTCCTTTAAATGTCTATATCAGCCTACCCATTAAAAGATATATTTATACATAGCAGCTCTCAATGAGATTAATATAAAAATTAACAACAACTTAGTTATGAAAAATAAAGCTACTTACCACAAAGCTACTTTGCTATTTATTTTTGAATCAAATGGAAAAGGGCTTGAAGAATGAACTTTTTCCTGATTCCCAAAATTGCTTGCATCTGGTAGGTCTCTAGGATTAATTTCATTCCATCTCTTTAAAGTAGATGCATCAACAATTTCAGGCGATACACCCAATGGATCCATTCTAAAATAATAAAATGTACAGTATCAAATAAATGCAGCAATAACAGAGCTATTAATGAACCAAATATAAGTTGATTTAGTTGTGCTCATATGACAAATATTTTTCATGTCGTACATATCCATAAGAATTTTATTGAGAAAAGTTTCTTTGCTCTAAAGCAAATAATATTAGCATTGTACAGCAAATTCTGAAAACACATGCTATACAATTTTGTGAAGAGAAAATGGTCACACACAAAGGGAAATAGCAAATTACTAAGTCTTCTCAATATTTCTGTGGGATTAAAAAACCAGTAACACAGTAGACACGAATATTTCATTTCTATTAAAAATAATCCGACACTCATGTTTTTAAAACAAAATATGAAAATTTCAAATTACAGCTAAATCATTCCTTTAAAATTGAAAAGATATCAGAAGCCCATAAAACTGTATAAAGAAGGCAAAATAATTGTACAGTCAAAAATCTTTAATCCGGACTCGTTGGGACTTCGGCGATTCCGGATTATCGATCATCAGTTTAAATCTGGTAAGATGGCATGCAGAACTATAAAATTAAAAATATGAAATCATAATTTATGAAGTAAAGAGCAATTATTATCTAAAGAGTATCAAAATTTACAAAAAAAAAAAAAAAAAAAAAAAAAAAAAAAAAAAAGGATAATATTTATTTACTTTATTAAACATTTCGGTACTATTCTGTTTTGAGGACCGTAAAAAATTGCAGCGAAAATGTATGCGCAAAAGCGGCAAATCTAGCAAATGCGCCCATTTAAAACAGCGTGCCAAATCTAGCGTACGCACTGATTTCAGATTGCGTAAGTTTATATAGTTCTATATTTCTTAAGACGCCAATGAAATACTAGTTTAATTTTTAAATCCTTTTTTGATTTTAAATCGTTTTTTAATATCCTATGGATTTAACAATTTGGGAACTATCCATGACGAAAAGTCAGCAATAGAATTTTGGGTAAAGTGCAGAATCAACCACTGTTTGACGTGTTTTTAAGAATTACATACTTGGTATCCATGTGCACATTGACCTATTTTCACTTTAAAAAAATCCCAGAATTGCATAAAAATGGCACTGCGCACACCCTTGGCTTTATCTATGTACATATCGACCTACTTTCAATTAAAAATTAAAAGAAAATTGATAAAATTCCAATTTTTTTTACCCTTGTAAAAAGTGGCAAACAAATAAGTGAGCGAATCTGCACTTTACCGAGAATATTTTCAAAGAAAAGGCATAATTCATTATAGAAAATTACATTTGAACAACCAACAAGGTGAAATTATGCTTTAGCGATAAGTCGGTAGCGAAATAGTGAAGCAGGCATCCATTTAGTTATATTTAGCAATTTTTATATAAATTATAATAATGATCTGAAATAGTTATTTACTATTACGCTTAAATTCAGTCATGTTTAGCCTTTTTCATATAAGTTATAATAATAAAAAAGTATTATATGAAATTAACCTTTCATCTAGATTAAAATATCAATCTTAAATAGTTATTTACTTCCTTTCTTGTGTTAGGGTTGCCGCAATTATTTTTGGCAGCACTGGCATCAACAATAGTTTGGCGATTTTTTACGACCCTCAAAACCGAATAGTACCAACATTTCTTTCAATGTATGTTGTTTAAGTTGCTTAGTTTTATGTGCTAATACTTTCTCTTTAATTCTATAAACAGACATATTTTCTTGTTCAGTTACAAAGTTCCGCCATAATCGAAAGTTCAAGCTTACTTTTATAAAATTGCTCTAACAGTCTGCAAAAAATAATAAGCCAGATCCAATTCAGAAAAATTAAGGAAAACCGCAATCTGCAACATTAACTGAAATAGATAATTAGGGCAAAGCACACAGGTCTATCTTTCTGTGAGAAGGGATGTTCTTGTGGAAGGAATTTCAATGGAAACCAGTCTATGCTACACAAGGAGGGAACTACACAAACAATATGCAGTCATGGACCTTATAAGAAATAGACTAACCCAGTGGGCGGGGCTCGCGTCACCGACATGTCGGCAAGAAAGAGTAGGGACGATCTGGTTTACTTTAACATTGAAACCTATGCGTTTGTATCACATAACTCTTTAATTATTAAATGTGATACTTTGTATAGTGATGAGATTATGAAAGGCCACAGTTATTTCCAAATAGGATTTAAAATATCTCATTAAATCACTTTTTACTGCATTTCGCGCATTTTTTTCACGCGTAATTCTTGTACAAACATCTTTACTTTGGTAAAACGGTAAAAACTCTAAGCACAAAATTTATGGACTTAATTTTGCGTAAAAATAAAGTAAAATTAAATAAGATTGATAGTACGTGATGCTTTGAAATAAATAAGGTAAAATTAAACAAGATCTGATAATTTTTTTCAAAAAATTAAATGAAAAATTTCAGGCAGTGATTTTTCAAACTATAATAACATTACAAAACGATCATATTTGATATAAGATCATTAAATTATTAACATTAAAGTGGATTAATTATTTTAATAATTTATAAAATTCGGAGCATGAAATTTTCTAAGCGTAATAAAGGGGGAAAAAAAAGATAAAATAAAATCTAGAAGCACTCAAATTTTATATTACGCCCAAAAGGAACCTTTTTTTAAAGTTTCGTGTGTTACCTATATTTATTGAACATCATGTTCTTCGCCCGTAAACCACATACATTTGAAAACAGCATATCTTTAGAATTTCCGCACTGGAGATAAAAACTGTTATTTTCCATACAGTGCTCGCTCTGAACTCGTTGAGTTTGTTAATCAAAAATTCGTTAAAGTTTTACAAAATATGAAATAGATTAAAATAAATTTGAAATTCGGCCGTCCAGATGCCCATGTTCGGTTGGAGGATTACATTATTCAAAATTTTATGTCTCTAGATACTGTCGTTTTTGTCACAGTGCGAGAAACATAGCATACATTCATGCAGATTTCTTCATTATTTAATTTCCTTACATATAATACAGGGCGACAATATTTGGTAACAACAATTTGCAAGGAAACACGGACACTTATAGTAAAACAGCGCAAAATATCGCTTCAAAACTAACAGCCTTTCTAGGTGACTGCTGCTTTGGGTTAATAAATTAACAGTAAATAAAAAAAAATCTATGCAGAACTAAAAATAAATTAAAAAAAAATAGTCACTATAAAATACAAGCAAAATTAATTATTACAGTTAAATACAATTTTAATTAAGACACAATAACATGCCGAATAAATACTGATTCAGAAGTCAAACAACAAAAATCAGCGTTAATTCACAAAATTTTCACAGGACTAGTTTCGATGGTTTTACCGAACCATCATCTTCAGCTGCAAAACCGCAAATGAACAAGATAGGAAATAATGTTTAGATAAGATAAGAAAGCCTGGACAAGAATAAGCAAGTGGCGCCATCTGTTGGCGAAACCAGAACTAAAACATAATTTCTCTAAAAGCCGAAGGCAAATTTGGATTGGAATTAGGATCGTTAACTAGAACAGAAAGATTTTTATGAATGTGAAATGCCTCTAGAAAATCCAGTTCTCCAATGGAAGATGTTTTTTGAATAATTTTGGCAGCAGAAAAATTGAAAGTGTGATTTTCGGACCAACAATGTTGAGCAACAGAAGACTTCTGTGTTTCCTTTTTTCTAACATATGCCTCATGTTCTTTGACGCGAAATTTTAAGGCTCTCTTAGTTTGGCCAATGTAAATTAAAACCGCACTGGCAAGGAATCCTATAAATACCCCAGGAATTCATATCCGGAATGGGGTCCTTGAGTATAGAAGTTGGAATTTTATTGATGGGAGAGTAAACAACCCGAAAGTTAAATTTCTGCAAAATATGTGCAACTTTATAGCTAATTGATGGAAAGAAGGGAATGACAACAGAATTTTTATAATCTCCTAAAATAAGAGTGTGGCTTTTAGTGTGTTGAGATGAGAATTTTTTTTAACTGCTTGATTAATAATGTTGGGTGAAAAGCCCCCTGTCAATAGCTATTGCTTTTAAATAATTTAGTTCTTCATCAAGGGCTAGTTTGGAGGAGCAAACTTGAAGAGCACGGAAAACATAGGAATAAAATGAAGCTAACTTTTGTTTAGTCGGATGACATGATTTAAAGTGTGGTGGAAGGCACAAACCGATGAAGGTTTACGGTAAACTGTAGTACTGAAGTTGGATGTGTTACGTGTGACCAGAATGTCGAGAAACGGAAGAGAATTGCAAGTCTCAAGTTCAAAAGTGAACTGAATAGCAGGATCAATAGAATTCATTGTTGAAAGAACTCTATTTAAATCATCTTTATTACCTTCAAACAGGGGTAAAAGTATCGTCTACGTAGCGGAACCATGCCGGGAAGTTTAAAGTTTCAAACAATTTGATTCATAATAATGCATGTAGATATCAGCCAGGATGGGACTGAGGGGGCTTCCCATGGCTATTCCCTCAGTTTGCTTGTAATATTTATTTTGGAAAACAAAATGTGTTTGTTTCAAACAGAGTTGAGTGAGAGAAATTAGCTCATCAATTTCGATGCAAGAGAAATGAAATTCGCGAAGTCTGGTTTCTAGACATCTTAATGCACCCTCCACTGGGACATTGGTGAATAATGATTTTACATCAAAAGAAACCATGAGTAAATTACGAGGAGAAATGTTTTGAAGAAATGTTCAACATTGTTGGTCCGAAAATCACACTTTCAATTTTTCTGCTGCCAAAATTATTCAAAAAACATCTTCCATTGGAGAACTGGATTTCTAGAGGCATTTCACATTCATAAAAATCTTTTCTGTTCTAGTTAACGATCCTAATTCCAATCCAAATTTGCCTTCGGCTTTTAGAGAAATTATGTTTTAGTTCTGGTTTCGCCAACAGATGGCGCCACTTGCTTATTCTTGTCCAGGCTTTCTTATCTTATCTAAACATTATTTCCTATCTTGTTCATTTGCGGTTTTGCAGCTGAAGATGATGGTTCGGTAAAACCATCGAAACTA